CACCCAACTTGGGCTCTGCTTTTAACCTCTAATAGTAGGTGGTGAAGCCCTATGTATTTCTTTGCTTTCTTGACTCTGAAGCAAACCTCCACTTCCATGACTACTAGGAAGTAATGAGACGGAAAGCTGTTTATCCCCACAGTTATTTAAGATTTGTCTAGATCAGTTTTCTGGGCATAGCACTGAACAAGGCCTACTTCTCTCTGGGTGGAGACAAAAGTCCAGGTACATATTAGACAGAAGCCCAGAGGAAGCCTATAAGCTTGAGCCTTTCCAAGAGTATTAATTTCTTTGCATCCTCCTTGGTCACAAAGGGATGTCTTGATAAAAAAAATGCCCAAAGGGGCAATTTAAATGCCAGCAGTCCTAGAAGTAGTTATAGGAGAGCTCCAGGTACAGCCTTGTGACCATTGCAGTCCCTTATTATTATTAAAATTGGTATTCTGCTCTTCACGAACCCTGCTATTAGAGGCTTCTGCCATTCCTCTGTGCTTGACTGAGCCTTCAGCCCTAACCCTGCTTCCATTTTGTGAGAGGCTGGGGAATGGAGCTGACAATACTACTGAACACAGCACATAAGCCTCTGCAATGTCTGTGCATGTTGGCAAGGTCTGGCAGGCCTCAGTGCATGTCCTGCACTTCACTCAGACATAACAGCTGTCTTACCAGCACAGTATTCCTAGATCCTGCCTCAGCCCTGTGCATACATCAGAACTACTCACTAAAATCACTGCCAAGTTCCCATCTCTCAATGGCTGTAGAATTTTCTTCTTTCTGTTTCTGGTGTCATCCCTGTTATACTTTATCAGTCAAGGCTGATATGCCCATGCTCTGCTTTTCTGTAACTTTCCTGCTAGAATATTTTATTGCATTCAGTGTATTCACAGACCTTAGTGAAATCATTTGTGTATTCCCTAATCATTTGCAGCCTCTGTTGGTTAAAATCCTTCTAGTATGTTAACCATTATCATTTTTAAAGGTCTTCAAGGGTGGTATATTAAAGCTGGTTTCCATTAAGCAGCACATGAATAGATTGCCGCCTACATTTTGGTATTGATCTTTTGTTTATCTTGTTCAACAATTTGCTGGTGGTTTCAGTGGGATTTGTAATACCATAACCCCTATGGTTTTATTTCCTGACTTCATCAATGGAAAACCGATAGGAAAAACACTAAGAGATGAGAACTGCAGGGCATAACATTGTGGTGGCACCTGGGAACAAAAAAAAATTGTGGTCACTTCTAGATGTAAAATCAGGCCAAAGAGAAACAAACACAAAACCCTTTGTGTAAAGAGTTAAAAACCCTGCATTATTGTATGTGTGAAGAGAGAGAGGGAGGCTATATTTTGAGAAGTTTAACTTGTTTAAATTCCAAAGTTTTTTAATAATTTCTGCTTCTCTGAATCTAAATAAATGTGGTTTAGTTTCATCCCCTCCCTCAGCTTTTCCTCCTGTGGTTTGAATCAGGAGTTGCTCCTGATGTGAGTTACACTGCAGGAAAGGTAGTGTTAGGTTTCTGTCTGGTTCTCCTCTTCCCTGTCTGGAATGTGGGGCAGTTACAGGGCTGTAGCTGTGTCTTGTGTATCCTTATCATAAGGCACTTTGTGCAGTCCTGTAAACTGCAAACTGATAAGTGGTGTATGATTAAAATCAGGTCTCAGGGGTGAAGGGGAACAGAGTGGAAATGTCCAATGGCAGTTTGATTTTAACCTCTTCCTTCCCCACCATCCTGCCTTTCAGCAATGGTTTAATATGTATAAACCCATAACCATCAACACAGCTCTCCTGTCTGAAGAAGCTGATTCCTTTGTGAACAAGCTGGACCCTAATAAGGTATTTAAAAGCAAGAACAAAACTCCAGTGATCAAAAAGAAAACATCTTCCCAGCCAGCAGGCCCCCAAAAGAGTCACACAAGCATGGCCTCCTCCAAGACATCCTCACTAGCTGGGAATTCTTCAAGGAAGTGAGACTGACAGGTCTGACCCTGGAGAGCATTTGCAATAAGTTTTGATGTTCTCTGATGCAGAGTCTCAGTGGTTCAGACCAAGTACCTTGTGCATGAACAGATGTGCCCATGGAAAACACATTGCAGCATTTGCATGAAATACAGCCACAATGTACTTTGACACGGAAGGGATGTAGTTCCTGTAGACTCTGAGAAAAAAACTTGAGACATTGATTTATTCCCTTCTCCTACTTGCAGCATGCACTTTTCAGAGGGCACAAAGGAGACCTTGATGTCACTGCTCTATAGGGAAGCTTTTGTTCAGGTACAACTACAGCAGTGAAACGGAAGTAAATGTAAGTCACCATTACTTTAATAGACCCATGCTGAAATACAGCATGTAAAGATATTTCTGCCATCTCTTTTGAAAGAAACCTGTCCTGACCTTGTATGCTATGGGAGCAGGCTGGAACCCACTGAACAAATAAATGTCTTCTGCTTCAGAATAATCAAACTCTGCACTTTCCTGTGCTCCTTCCAACTTCGGCTCTGAGATCCATGGTACAGAGGGACCTGGGACTTCCATCTCTCTGCATTGCCCTAGTTGCTTTCTCTACAGCCCAGACCACTTTTTGGCCTTTGTGCTGTATCATTTCGGATAGTTAGTCTGTGTGATGTTCTTCCCAATAAGCCTAAAGGTGGCCAGAAGTTGCAAGATCCCTCATTGGCTCTGCTTTCTCCTCCTGTGGGAACTGCTGAGCCAGGGCGGGTCAGTAGTGGTGAGAGTCCCATAAGCCAGGAGGACCCCTTGGTTTGTCACACATTCATTTGCAAAGCTGACTATTCAACAAACAGCCTTTGTCACTTTTCAATTGGGCAGGATCTGACCAGGGGCCACTGAGATCCTACAGCCTTAGAAGCCCCTGATGCTGTTTTCTATACTGTAAGTTTTCAGGTTAGAACTGCACTTTAACCCATTCATTGCTGCTTTTCAGTTAAATCTTATTGTTTCCATTGTTTTTCTATGCCATACTGTCTTCTTAGATGTACTGGAAACACACGGTAACAACAAACACATTTTGTGCCTAAGCAGGGAAGTCAAAGTCACCATCTTCAAATAAGCATTGATTATTTAAACAGCATCATCTTTTATTTATGAAACAGTCACAGAATTACATAAGACAAACCTACCTCACAGGGATGTTGTGAGGCTTTCACAAGTATTTGTACAGCCTTCAGAAATAGTAAGCCACCCTGTAAGTGCTTAATAGTACTTGAATAAAGATTTGAATATTTTCCTCCAGCGTGACTGGGTGTTTGAAGATGCTTTTGGGAGCACATGCACAAGGATGTATGGTAAGAGGAGGGTGCAGGCTGGATTGTTTGGGGTTTTTTTAATGCAGCGGAGAATCTATCACTGAGAAGGGACAGGTTACGGTGTCCTTTTAGCTAATCCCATCTTGAGATACTCTGAAGTTCCCAGTTTAGTTCACATAGACCAAAAGACTCAGCTGTATGACAGCTGTTCCATGTCTGTCCTGCACTCGCTGTTCAAAATCTCTGCAGCCATTAGCCCCAGCTCTGGCCTGCTTTGCTGGCTTCCAGGACTGCCCAGGGCCTACCCTCAAGTGCAGTTGCTGCCTTGCCTGGCAGCTGCCCTCTGCCCCAATGAAAGGAAAGAAAATCCTCTAATCCTCTTCAGCCCTCTTAAGCAAATGTGCATCCTGTGCTGGGTGAAGATCTGCTGTAGCTGCTCTATTAATATAAGGTCAGCTCTAATGAGGAAGCAGAGTACCTACCACCCCCCCTGCTCCCTGCCACAGTAATACATTAGTAATTCTCTCAATAGTGAGATGTGAATGATCATTAAAGCCAGTAAATGCCACGTCCCGGAATTCTGTGCAGTCATGATGATCTGTCACTTCATACACTTGGAGATCCCTGTGTTGTATGTTCATGGTACTCAGCCCTGGCACTGCAGTCACGTGCTTGACATACATACCGTACTTGCTTAAGCACTTTCTAGAAAAGTTAAGACTGTTGTCACTCCCCTGGCAACAGGCAGCTTCTGACACTGTTTTACTTTTAATCCAATGATACCTCAAACTTGTAAGGCTGTTGCAGGCCCACTTCCTCATTCAGATGGAGGTGGCAGAATTCCCACAGCAGCAGGGCAGCCTCTTCCCACATTTCTCGTGCATTCAGAATGGAGCAAAAGTTGTTTTGGCTTTTTTGTGCATGTGTTTGAGCATTTGGGTATGCTGCCACAGAAGTTTCTGAATCCTTTCATATGGTGATAGTCTAGCCTGTCAGTAACAGACATGGTTCCATGACACCAACGTGTTCCAGCAGAGCTGTGCCAGGATTCAGGAGACTCTGTAGTTTAGTTTACTAATTTTTTGTGCTTCCTGAATGTTCAGATAAAAAAAAAAAAAAAAAAAAAAAGGCAAAAAAACAAAACAAAGCATGAAAAAAAGACAAAAAAAAAACCCAAACCAGGTTCAGGTTCAGGTTTCTGTTTCAGACTGTCCTTGCTTTCTCTTTTCTGTGCTTTGCCAAACTGAGTGTTAGGGTGGAAGATTAGCAAATGGAAGCAAGCCTAGGCCCATGATCCATCAGTGCAGTATCTACCTCTTACCTAAGCATATTCCAGATAAAAATTTATTTAATTAAATTGTTTCTGCCACTGTTGGATCCTGTATTTTGATTTCTGTGAACATACAGCTATCTGGAGTCTTACAGCTCTGCTTTGCTTTTCTCCAGAATGCAATGGGGTTTTTTGGTTTTTTTTTTTTTGGTAGATTGTTACACAGAGAGACTGGATAATTTATTTGGGTCACAGACAAGTCTAGCCCTACCCAGGTCTGCGCAGAGACTCAGTTTGTTTGGTTAAGCAGGGTAGGTTTATTGAAGGCTAGTCCTATAGGGCAGAGAAATGGTATGCTCCAGCAGCACCACTGCTCGTGCCCTTATCCCCTTGGTTACCTTTTGGCCGCTGGTCCATGTGTCCATGTAGGCTTTGCTGTCAGGCCCTTTCTGTGGAGCACATGCTGTCACAGCGTAGAAGTCTCCACAACTGGCTGTCCTTTCTCATTTCCACTTTCCAGGACAGGTTGGTTGTGAAAATCAATGAAGAGTTTGTGGATTAAAACACCAGCAAGACTTCCCAGAGTCGGAGCTGTGAGTGGGACCCACCACCAGTGGTCTCCAGCCCTAAAATGAAACACAGAAGAGGCAGCCGGTGAGCCAGACAAACCGCTGCCCTGCCATTGCATGGTGCAGGGTGAGGTGAGCTGCATCTGCTGGGCAGGAGTGAGCTGTGTGAGCAGAGGTGTCTAGTCCCACTTCACATACTGAGCCCTGCAACTGGCTTAAAAAAAATCCATCCACCAGCCTAATTGCTGGAAGGAGGGTCATTTTGCCTGTCGGCCTGAGGAAGTGACTCTGCACTGTCTGCAGATTTCTTGTGCTCACACACACACAACCCCCCCTTTTCCCTCCCCATTTCCAATAGTATCTGCAACTCCTCTACCAAGCTCTCAAAGATATTTTCTGGAAATTTAATGAAAATGGGAGCTGGGACAGGAGACACTGCTAATGCACTCACAATGGGAAAAGCCATAGCATGGCACCATCTTACTAAATGGGGGAAGGCAGGATTTCATCTCCAGATTCAGACATCTAAAGCTATTCAGCAATCCAGCTGTAAGTACCAGCTTTCAGGTGAGCTGAATCACTCTGGCTCTCCAGTAACTGCAATAACCAGCTAGATCTCCAGCTAACAGGTAACCAGTTTGGTTCCCAAATCGAGGTATCTGAATGTTAAGATGAATCCCATGATGAAGAATTAGTGTACCCTGAGTTTGTATACATAATGCACAGGGTTCCTCTATGCAAAGTCCTTGCTCTCTGAAAATGGAGAACACACTCTGCAACAATACCATCACTTCATCCAAAGAAAAAGGCTTGATGACCATTTTATCTTGGACTTATCCCCTTTCCTCGTGAGCTGAGCAGTATAAAAGCAAAACGGGTCACTCACTTAAAGACGTCCATTCCCCAGCCAGCAATTGCTGTGAAGACTCTGGGGGGTAGGTCCCGGGAGGGGTTTATGGCATAGCCTGTGTTCAGCCCCATCCCCAGGCCGATGCCCAGGACCAGGATACCAGTGAGCAGGGCCTGTGTGCCTTTCAGGGCTTCATTGTTTTTCTCATCGTGGATGATCAGAATGCCCAGGAGCAGCATCACCGTCGCCATAAACTGCAGGAGTGGGAAAGGCAGGTCAGGAGAGAGAATGGGGAAGGCAGAAGGATCCTGCTCAGCAGAGAGGAAGAGACTTCCCAGAATGGAAGAGCAGGTGGGATTCATGGTCTGATCAACTCTGGAAGGACCCCAATGTTACTTTCTCCTCACAGGTGGACTGAAGAAAATTCTTGATTAATTTCCCAGAAAAAAATGTCACCACCTCATCACCAAAAATGCTCTAGGACTGAAACAAACTTCTCAGCACTATCCTCTCCTTCTACCTTTCAAGCTGGGGACACAGGTTACTTTAAGTACATTATGTCTAACAGAGGCAGAGCCATGACAAGCTGCCAGCGAGACAAATCTGATCCTCCCTAGGAGTGATGTTTTACAGAGCCTCTTGCATTAGCCCTTTCAGGACTAAAAGCAGATACCAGATTCTCATCTGGGATACTAAATCTCCCATCTGTGAGAGTATGTAGCTGGTATTTGTGTATCTGCAGTGCCCAAGATGTCAGGAACTGTGGTTTGAATAGAGGTGATGAGACTCCTGTCTCTTTCTGCTTCAGAAAATGCAGCTGGAGAGCCCTGAACTGTTTGCGGAGATGCCAGCAGAAGCAGAAACTCTGCAGGTCTTGGCAACACACTGTCACTGTCATTTGCTTTCTTGTGTGGCAAGGACACTGCATGCTCCACAGGAGGCTGAGTAATCAGGTCCCCACCTGTAGGCTCTCCAGCTCTCACCATCCTCCTCATCATGCCTAGGCAAACTTTTTGTCAGCTCAGAGACAAAATCACAGGCTTCCCCAGATTTGAACTGGAAGTGAATCTTCCTTCTCCAGTGTCCCAGTGCTCCACATCCCTTGAAGTATCTGCTTCCTATTTCCAGGCATCTGGGCATTGTGTTGTGCTAGGAACAACTGTACAGTCTAAATTGGACGGTTCAAACCCCAGAGGTTCAATCCAGACAGGCTGTGTTCATGTGAAGACAGTTCCAGGCCCTCTGTGCCAGTGAGGGGCAGCCAGCAGAGCTACCTGGGAGTCTGGAGTGGATGTAGGATCCAAAAAGGAGAAGAACAGTTCAGGGAACTGCTCAGAGCCCAAAGCAGATAGTTATTGATACAGCTCAGCTTTTCACTTCCCATTTCTTGGGCTGTGTGCAGGGAAGGTGTTTGGAGGACACTCAGACCAAGCTGCAGAGCAGTCTGCAGGTGTTACCTTTTAGGCTCACTCAGCCACCAAGGTATCTTGGATCCTACCTGTCAGGTTCCTGCCTGGATGGTGGGCTCCTTGAAGGAGAGGTTGTGATTGTGCCTGCACAGGTAGCACTGTGAATCCCCTGTAGCAGACCTGCAGCAGTGCCTGTTACCACCCACCCTCCCCTCGCACACCACAGCGATCCCCACTGACCTCTGTGAAGAAGCCCCCCACGAAGGATACATATGGAGCGGGATAAGTGGAGAAGATCGACGCTGTGGCAGTTGGTCCTGTCACTGTAAAGTTCCCCTTGGTGTAGTCATATAGAGCATCTAGGAGAAATGGGAATTACGGGAGTTAGCGCAGAGTTTATCCCACATGGCATGTCCACAGGTCCACCTGTTGCAGCCAGCATGGACACCAAGGGGAAGAGAGGCAATGGGAGATACGATGGAGGTGACACACCCCTGACAGGACATGATCTCACTGGTATCTCTTACCTGCAGACTTTGGTCTGCTGCTGCTTTTTTACAGCTACCAGCTCCCCATTCCTGATCCAGGAGCCTGGGGCAGGCTGGACATTCTGAATGCACTGGAGCCTCCACCCCTGTGCCCCTTGGAGACTGAGACATGCTGGAGCCAATGGGTGGTGGGTCCTCTTCTCACCACTCAAAACCACAGATGACTGCCGTCCTGTTTTCCACAGACCAGCAGAGTCCCCCAGAGCTCCAGCGGTACCTAATACATGATAGTCCATCCAACTCAAGCCCTTGCAGACCCTGGAAATAAAATGCTGACAAAATGCAGCTACTGGCCTTGAGTTGAGGAGAGGTTTTGGTAGTGGGAATGCCCTGGGCAAAAGGAGCTGTGTTTTCCAGGAAATGCACATCTTTCCCCATCAAGGTCTAGCCTTGAGAAGGTCTGTCCCACAAGCTAGGAGCTCGCCCTCCTCACCCAGACATCATGCTGGGTACTATAAAAGGAAATAATTTTTATGAACTGTGAGTTTAGACTGAAACATTTCCCACAAAAACCCCTGTAGTAAAGACACAACCATACCATAGTAAAGGCCAAAGACGGTAGCTGCTGCCATAAAGGAGCCCAGGAACTGGCCAATCAGGTAAGCTGGGAGCTTTCTCCAGGAGAGGTTTCCTAAAATGCAGTGTGTGAGGGTGATGGCAGCATTCAGATGAGCTCCTGCAAAATCACAGCAAAAGAGAGTGGTCTTGACTCTGATGCAGCTCTTTTGGAGCATACCCCACACCCCACAATAACCGCCCAGACCCTGCTCCAGGACACCAAGGCTCTCCCAGGGCAGGGTCTCCCTCCTGCACAGACTCAAAACTGACCCGTTTTCCCTGGGCAGATGAATGCTCCTAACTGTAGTCATCTAAAAACTGAACTGCTTTATTCTCTGTAGACCAAGGCTGCTTCAGTCATCTCACCCATCAGAGACACCTCTCTTGGCACAGCATGAGTTTCCTTCTGTATGAGTTTCTCTCTATTCAGCTTAAAGGGAGCCCAGAACGTAGGCTCATCACCCACCTTTTATATGGCTACTGGTAGATTAGATGTCTGCAAAGCAAATCCTACACAGGGCTGTTGGTAGGGACTCAGATTACCTCTTAGATGTCACTGCATTGAGAGGGGTTTACCAAGACGGTCAATCCTAGCTGTACCACGGTTGCTCCCACTTGCGTGGAGCAGACCCTGTCCTTCCCTTGCAGAGTTTGTAATCTTGGACTGCATTTCCTTACATCTTTTAGTACGTGGCTTTCATACAGGGCAAGACCAGTTTTCCCTCTTTTGAGAGAACACTTTCTGTGGAGGAGGCTGGTATCACAATGGTGCTTTTGGAGAAAGACTAAGTGGATAAAGGTTTGGTGCCCTCAGAGCAAACCAAGTCTGTTCTCCAGGCCCCATCTCCCCATGAGTCCAAAGGAAAAATTTTTTTCCTGCCTAGCAGGTGTAAACTGTGGGGATGAGTAAATGCTCCAACCTTAGTGGCCTTTTCCTACTCCAGACTCAGAAAGGGGCAAGAGCCAGACACACATTATCTCATCAAAGTACAGGACAGAGTGAAATGAAACTGCATGTACCACCTGCTACAGTCCCACAACCACAACTGAAATGGAGGAGACCCCTTTTTCTTTGATCCTCTGATCCTTTGCAGGCATGACCAGCCATTTGAGAGATCACAATAAAAGATCTGATGACAGAAATGGAACCAAATCACAATGCCAAGAAGCACTGAAGGTGGGTTCAGAGCCAGCCTGTTGCTGGCTGAGCTGAGATCCTTCCTTCTGCTGCCCAGCCCTCAGCAGATCCACACCATCTTGAATGCCTCCTGGAACTGCAAGGCTCTACCTTCCTCAGCCCAATTACCCCAGGATGTCTCCACCAGCTCCAAAAGGATGAAGAACTAACTGCTTGTGTGGAAAAAATTTCCTTTGCAAGCCAACCCCAGCCTTGGACATCTCTCTGCTCCAACAGTTTGAGAGCAAGGACTTGCTTTCATTTTCTGCCCACTAGAGCCTTTAATTTATTCTCTTAGTGCTAATGAATGCAGAAATTGCACAAGGCAAAGGTAATGCTATGTCATGTGAGAGATACCACCCCATGGCCCTGAAACACCACGTCCTGAGTTTGCGTGGGGTGTGCATGTGTGGGTGTGGATGATAAGGAGAAAATTTGCATACCATTCCTTGCTGCAACATCAGCAGTAAGCTCTCCTTTGCAATAAATTATTTACTTCCCCATGGGTCAGATTGGCAGCATGTTTTCAGAGCTCCTTGTCTCCTTGGCCATGATGGCATATCCCAAGCGCCTAACGGGGGCACTGCAGAAACCTGGCCCTGCTGATGGCAGCAGGAGGGGATAGATGAACCTCCACCACTCTCCCTGTCCCACTTGCCTCTGTCTCAGCTCAGGATACATGTTTGGGGTCAGTGTACTGGAGGTATGCTGTGCCCGCCTTGTCCCTGGCTTCTCGTAACCTTGCCGTGCCAGGTCCTTGTCTTGACCTCAGACCTGCCTCCCCCGTGAAGACTTGGCTGTGATCACTGGGTCACAAGACTGCCTGGTTACAGTCACCAGACCTGCTCTGCTCTTCTTGCCTGGGGACCCTAGGACTGCCTTTTTTTTGGTGAGGGTACTGCCCTGCTTTGCCATGCCATCACCTCCCCCTCTGCAGCCCACTCCTGCTGCCTCTGATGCATGTGGCCTTTACAGGACATAGAGATGTCCTGTGCTCAGGTGTCCTACTCACCAGAGATTCCTCCAGCCGCATGGATGCCCAAGGTAACACCAATGCCAAATCCCAAATTGATGCTCAGATGCTGCCCAAAGTCTCCTCTTCCTAAAACCACTTGTGCCACAGAAGACAATCCAAAGACCTAGTGCATGGAAAAATAAAGTGTGTTAAAAGTAGTGTTATTGCTGTGGTGGACTGAGCTTCTTTGTTCCTTTTTCTGCAATACTAATAAACTTCCAAAGATGGGAAGTCTGTAAGGTGCCCATGTCAGGACAAGCGAGAATGACCCTCCTCCACAAAAATTGCATGGATAACTGGATTATTCCTTATTGGTGACCATCATTCCAAACCAGATACTCTGGTCTGGATTGGGAACAGGGGAGAACAACCCCAGACACCTGCACCAAGGTCCGAGACTCAGTTGGGATCACTCACACAGTCACGGTAAGGGAATCTGTGCCTGAAACCAGGGACATGAACCAGGGGAGGATCACTGCAGGCCGCCCAGAGGCAGTGCCCAAGGTGGATGGAAGGAGGGTGGACAAATTCCTGTTGTCCTTCTTTTCCTGGTGTGCAATTTATTGACTAAAAATGTAATTTGGGAAGCACAGAGCTATTTGCCAAGCTCTAATTTTGGTAAATTTTTGCCCTAACAGGGCAATCCTGAACTTGTTCTTTATCACCTGGGAACTTCCACCAGCAAAAAAACCAAAGGGGATGGAAAAGGAAAATGGCTTTCTCAGCTCCTGCTGAGGAGTCACAGATGTTTGTACTCTGACTTCCAGTGCATGCAAAACTACCTATGTAATAGGAGTGAACTTCAAGGAGCTGGATGTGTAAGAAGATGGTCATAAAAAGTGAGCATCCTTTGCACGTACAGTCATTGCACTTGAAAACAAGCACCTTATCTGTACTGAGAGCTGTGTCAAGCTGTCCGGATGCTTACACAAATCTTATCTTCCTCTTGTGCAAATCTCCAAGTACAAACTATTTGGGTTATCCTTCCATGCCAGCTGCTGTCCAGTCCAACGTGCCTCTCAGTGTACACTAGGTTGGCACAGGCAGCTACTGGACCTTTTCAGAGATAGGATCTCATTTTGCTATGTTGGTCCAACACACAAATGCTCTGGTCCCAGTGCGCACTTCACCCCCACCAGGGATCAATTCTGACTGAAAGCCTTCCTCACCCTCTCCCCAGACACCTCCAAAGCTGCTGGAGATCTCAAAACCTCTTCATTTTTTCTGTGTGAAACAGAAGCCTCAGATCCCACACGATGGCCTCTGGCACAGTGGGAAGAAAAGCCTCAAGTCACTGCACGGGATCTTTCAGGGGGTTTGGCACAAGCGTTGCCTTGCCCTATCTGACCAGACACTGCTCTTTGGTTCACTCCCAGACTCTTCCTTGTTTTTCTCCTAGAAGAGAACTGAAACTGTGGCTCGTCCCCACCTGCTTCACCCTCTCCCAGCACCCATTTCCCACCCCCTGCATTGCTTTTTTCCTCCAGAAGGTTTTTCACAGATGGTCTGCCCGATGGGAAGCTGCCACCTCACCAGAGCAGAGGAGTGAGTAGCAGCATCCAGCTGCTTAGCAGCTCTGAGGATGTGGTAAGAAACCACTGACCTTACAAACTGCTGCTGGAAACGCTTACCCTCTCACCCGCCCTGCACACAGGCACACACATGCATGGACACACACATCTGGGCCCGTGTCCTCCTTACCATAAGGATGAACATCCCCAGCGCTTCTGCCAGCAGCTCCCTGATGGTGCCGCTACGAATTGTGAGTGCCTTCTGAATCTTCTCCAGCATTTTTCTCTCCAGCTTCAGCCTGCAGCCACAGGAGCTCCTGTTGTGACAGCACACTTCATTGCACAGAACTGAGTTACCCTTTGAAACTTGGCACCCTCCCTTCACCCCCAGACACCTTCATTCATGTGGTTAACAATGAACAAGCCAATAAAATAGCAGTTAGCTTCAAAGTCTTCCCACACACATGCCATCCTTTCAAAACTACGTGGTAAGGATGCAATATTTCTGCTATTGGGGTTTTGCAAACACTGTGCCTCTGCTCAGGAGCAGCCTATCTCCAGAGCAGTGGAGCTGTAAATAGCCTTGGTGTGCTCCTAAAGGCTGTCTCTCTCTGCAACCTTTTCCACAGGAATTGAACAGGAATGTTCTGCATTGTAAACCACTGGCTGATGGTTTGGTGCCTTTTTTTTTTCAACAGATGGATTAGGATTTTTTGCCTGTGCTTTGCAGGACTATTTGGAGGCCCAGACTGTGGTGAGGATGATCTGCCTTGAGCTGGTGCACCGTTGTCTGCAGCTGAAAAGAGCGCAGTGCCTTGGGCGTTGCTTCAAATTGAGTATCTGCTCTGGCTGAATGTACCTGTGCCCACAGCTCCCACCACACTAGCGAAGAGACTCCCTGACACCCCCCGC